AGCTACAATTCGGAGCACGGCCTATGCTGCTACTTGGCACCTGTGTGCATGTCTGAACGAGGAAAGCACTGCAGGAAGGTGCTCAGTCACTCTTGGCAAGGCCGTGGAGACTCTGGGTGGAAGGGCTTCTGATGACTCACAGGTGTCCCTCCTGGGTGAGCAAGTGCTCGCCATTCACAGACAAGGAGTCTGGCTTGCTCTTCTGCAGGCACCTGTTGGAGCTGAGGAGGCTGTGAGAGAGCTGGATGTGTACCGACTTGATCCCTGCATGTGAGCCTTCCACAGCGGGCTGGAGAGCCGGTGCACTCTGAGGCTAACAATGCGCTCTTCTCCAGGTGTTCAGGCTTTATCCTTACCAGGGCTGCACTCCTGGTATTTCTTAATCTGCCCTTTGCCTCCAGCAGTTGCAAGTGTTTCCTAGGACCTCATGACAGTATGTTGTGAAGTTAAAAAGAAATTTTAATTGTATGTTAATATCTTAATAATTTGTACATGAGAACTGCAGAAGTTTGCTATACATCGTGCCATCCAAATGAGAAGTTGAAAGAATGCATATGTGCATGTGTAATGTCTGATCTCAGGGCTGGTTTGGGCTGAGTTTAGTCCCAGAGGTCCAGATCATATTTTGCCTGAAATTTGTGATGTGAATAGATGAATTACTTTTGTCATTAAATGGTGATTTCTGTATTGGAATTTTAGAAAGGACTGCCATGCCAACCGCAAACACATCATAGCAAATTGCTGGATTTTTAGAAGGAAGTTCATTTGACTGACCCCTGTGCTTTGATAATAGATTTGGGGGTTTTGTGGATTACCCTGTTACAAAGGTAAACAGAAGTAGAAAGCTGATGTTGGAGAAGTTTGGGGAAACAGCAGGCTTTCTGCCAGGACTTTTCTGTAGTCCATGTTTATTATTCCTTTTAAAATTATTGTTCCTTGTCTTATGAGGGCGGCGGCCATCCTCAGTCCACATGGCCCCACGCTGCTTTCCTGTTGCTAGGATATGTGGAGCGCTGGGGCCTTGAGCTGGGCTTGTAAAGGTTGGTTTTATTTATCCAGCTCCTTCGGCCTGAGGCTTGGGGCTCCCGATCCTGGGTGTTTGCAGACTGTCATTTGGACTGGGGAAGGTTTAGTTATGTGTGTGTGTGTGTGTGTGAGAGAGAGAGAGAGAGAGAGAGAGAGAGACAGACAGACAGACAGACAGACAGACAGAGACAGAGACAGAAAACCTTCTAATTACATTAAGTACTTTCCCACCTGTAGTCTTTGCATTTGATGGTTGCGGCTGCTTCTAACACATTCTCCCTTTTTATAGGTATGCCTTACACTTTCTCGTCCAGAGTGGGATTTCCTACTGCATCATGATCATAGCAGGAGTGGAGAGCATGCATCAGTGAGTATTGACTGCATTCACACAGAAAAACACCTTTCCCTTGAATAGAGTCTGATCAAAGATAGTGGTCATATTTATTACACCACAGTGCTCCTGAAGCGGGGATGCGCATCCCTCTCTGGTCTGTGTACATGAGCTCCAGAATTCTCCGCGGACATGTAACACTGTGGGGTGTTCAGCAGCACCCCTAGCTCCTACTCATTAGACACCAGGAGAACCCTGATTTGTGACAAAAATCAGTGTTTCCAAGATAAACACTTAAGGACAGGAATTGTCCCTGTTTAACAGTGACTGGCATAGTCTCTAGGCAATTAGCAGTAGAGAACAGTACTAAAGAGGTTGCATGCAGACGTAGAAGGCCGTTTAGGATTGAGTGATTCATGGGAATTCTGGGAAGGAGACAAGGGAACAACGTCCCTGTTCCTGGCTCGCACACAGAAGTGGAAACAGTTTCTCAAAGGTAGGGACCCAGAAAATAGGGACTATTCCGAGAGGTAACCAGACCCCCGAAACAGTGTTCGGTGTGCAGTAAATGTTTAGTGAGTATTTCCCGAGTCAGTGGATGTGACTTAACTGTGAGATGCACAGCAGGACCTGAGGGTAGGCAGGGGTAGGTGGCTAGTCTGGAAGTGTCCATTTGGGAGCAGCATTACCACAGTGACTGGTGATGTGGCTCCAGCCTGAGGCTAAAGACCTGCTGGTTTCCTGGTATCCATCCGCAGTGACACACTGGAGTGTGATGCCTGCAGATCACAGCAGGAGCGACAGGAAGACCTGAGCTCAAGTCTGCACAGCTGGCTGCCTCTACATTTTTCTGTTGACAAGCAGGCAGACCTGTTGTATGGTGCTGCCCTCATTTAGGGCCGGTCCCTTCTGATTTGCTGTCCTGCATGCCAGTTTTTGGAAATGCCCTGACAGGCACACCTAGAAGCGTGCTCTGTGAGTCTCCTAAGTGTCCCGCAGTTCAATCAAATTGACAAGACTGACCTTCACAGATGTGGTTTTCATTTCCTTACACACAGCCCGTGCTGGCTTTTCTTCCCCTTTTGTGAACTAATACTTAAAAGTAGATGTTTTGTTTTAATTTTGCTAAGAATATTTTAAGAGTGTTTTGGGTGAAGCAACCTTTGAATCATTACGACCCTATTTTGTATGTGCGAGTGCCTACTTGTCTGAGTGTGTACCACACATGTGCAGTGCCTGCAGGGTCCAGAAGAAGGCGTTGGATCATGTAGAACTGAAGTTCTAGCCATGTGGATGCTGGGAACCGACCCAGATGCTCTACAAGAGCCACCTCTCCAGCCCTTAAAGCCCCATTTCCAAAGCCTTGCACAGACAACAGGTCCGGGGTGGTATTCATAGCTGATGAAACACAATTGTGTTTCTGACCTGGACAGTAGAAGGAAAAGCAGGTAAAATTGCTGTGCACAGAGGACTTGGCTGCTCTCATAACCAAAAGCGAGAGTGACAGGCTCTTGTGTTGGAATGATAGTCAGGTCATAGCTTTGCAAATAAAATCAGGTCTTTCCTGAAAAGCAGGGGTCTGTGGAGCCAGTTTCTCAACACTGTAGACTTGCCCTGTACAGGACGGCAGCTGCTGGATGTGTGCGGCTCTGCAAGCTTCTTTTTTGTTCATTACTTATTTAATTTATTGTTTTTTTTCCAGACGGCTTCTCTTTGTAGCCCTGGCTGTTCTAGAACTTGCTTTTTAGACCATGCTGGCCTCAAACTTGTAGACCCACCTGCCTCTTGAGTGCTGGGATTAAAGGGGTGCACCACCACAAATGGCTCTAACTCTGTTAGTTTAAATTCGTTAAGATTTAAAATGCGTTTTTTTTTGTTTTTTTTAAGCCCACTGTGGCATATATCTTTAATCCCAGCACTTAGACTGAGGTAGGGTGTTTTTCAATTTGAGGTCATCTTGGACTACATAAGGCTGTCATAAAAAAATAAAAACAATAAACCAGAAACAACAAAACACCCAAATAATAATGACAAAATAATAAGCATGAATCCACTCTCAAGAGGTCACCCCAAGCACATGTACATGTGAGCAGCACTCAGTGGACTCAGTCGGGTGTGTACGTGGTTCTTTGTATGCATGTGTGTACAGTGGTGGTCATGGAGAAGAGGTCCTAAGTTTGAGAGGGAGGGGCCGTAGTTGGAGAGTGAGAGCGGGGAGTGGAAGTGATGCAGACTCGGCTCTCATACATGGAATTCTCAAAAAACAATCATAATAATAAAATGCTGTGCTTCAGCTGTAGAAGCTGCGTTTCAGGTGCTCGAGAGTCTGTGTGTCTGGCGCATATGGTGGTGATCTTGGCCGGTACAGGTAGAGAACATTTTGACCTTCGCATACAGTTTTGGGTAGCGCTGCTGTGGTGATGATGCAGGGGTGTAGGTTGAGTAGTATCGCCCTCTCCAGCGTTCTCAGGGAGGAAGTGATCTGTTCATGTGCTCACATGGGCACTAGAACTCAGTGCTAGGTTCTGACACTGCTGGATGGAGTCAGGAAGAGGCTGGGCCTTCTGAACCACTGGGGTTAGAAACAAATAGCAGGTGATAGCAACTAGGGAAAATTGTGTGCTTTGGTCTCCTTTTTAGTTTGCAACACACACACACACACACACTCACACTCAGACACACACACACACACACACACACACACACACCATACACACGGCCTTACCTTTTCTTGCTTTCTTGTTAACATACATTCCTTCTTTTCAGTGTAGTTTTGCATGATGTGTGTATTCATTTGAAGAGCCAGACTTCAAATCTTTAATGATGGAAGATTTATGCTTCTCTGGGTGCTTAACTGTCTTGTGGTTTTTATGAGATATTTATTATATGATCCACTTTATGTAGCATTACTGTGTGTTAGTTAAAGTGTTTCAGTGTGCTATGAACTTGATTTCTGTAGCTCCCCCTTTGAAAGTGCTCATATGTGCTATGTCACTCAGATCTTGATCTAGATGATTTGTCATTAGCCCTCAATCTAGGGGCTGGAGAGAGAGAGATCAGAAATCATCAGTACGTGTTCTAGCTAGGCATAGCTAGGCGTGCCAGCGCTCGGGAGGCAGAGGCAGGCAGATCTCTGTAAATTAGAACCTTGCCTGACCTACGTTGTGAGTTCCAGGACAGTCAAAGCTACATGGAGAGGCTCTGTCTCAAAAACAAAACAGACGAACAAACAAGCAAACAAACAGCAATTGCTTTGGCAAGGGACCCAGGTTTTTTCTAGTTGGTATTTTTATGTAGGCTTTGAAATTGTGGGGGAGGGGGCTAGGTGACAGGCACTAAGATGAGTTTAGAGATGGAAAAGGGATTAGGTGACAGGCACCAAGAAGAAGAGTATTTAGAAACAGTTGGTCTGGGTTGCCGTAATAAAATGCCATAAACTGGCAATTGATAAAATAGCAGAAGGTTATTTCTTGAAACTCTGGAAGTTGGACAGTCCAAGTTTGGGTGCCAGTAGACTTGGTGTGTCTGGCGAGAACTGCTTCCTGGTTCATACTCAGCCCTCTTCCTTCTGTGACCTTGAGACCAAAGGTGCACCAGTGTGGGCTCTTGGTCTCTGTGAGGTCTCCTCTAAGCTAACATTTCAGAGCACTATGTATTAGGCTTTTAATTCTCCTAATTAATATAGGGAGAATTATGCTGGATTCATCCAGCATTTTCCAAAGCAAGGTTTGGCGAACTATCTTTATAGTGAACCAGGTAGTGAACGTTAGGGTTTGCAGGCCATGTAGCCTTTGTCACAACTGCCATACGCTCTGTTCTTAAGCTGCAGAAGCAACAGGAGTGTGGCAGAACGCCAGTAAAACTCCTTAGAAATGCAGGAAGGTGCTAGATTCAGCCAAATCATTTAATAAGGAAAATCTTGCCACAGGTTGTGGTATAGCACCTGGGATGGCATGTTCTCAGTTAAGTGTTCACTGAATGAATAAATGCATGCATGCATGCATGCATGAATGAATGAGTAGACGTGGACTTTTGTTGATAGTGCAGCCTCCTAGACTTGAATCCAGCTGTAGTCTTTGTCTCCAGCAGAGTCACCTGGCTACAGGTCAGCCCTGCCCTGCAGGACACTTGCCAATGGCTTCTGCCTGTCCTCTGCTGCCCTTCCTCACTAGAGCAGAGCTGCCTCCTTGATTGCTTGCCTGGAGCAACTGTTGCTGGGCTGCACTTTTCTTTCTCTTTCCTGGAAGAGAAGAGGCTGTGGGCAAGGAGAGGAGTGTTGGGAGCTCTTCACTTGGGTCATGGAAAAGGGAAGGAAGAGATCAGGACTGCCCACGCCCCTGTGGGCTCAGGAAGGTTTTTTTCCCTACAGAAGGAAGCACAGTGTGGGGTAGGTCCCATGTATCCTCATGTGCTTTTCTGATGTGGTGAATAAGCTTTTGTGGATGGTATGGGAACCAGAGTATCCTTGTATTACTTAAAAACAAAATTCTGTGGGGAATTTTGAGTTCCAGAAAGACAGTCTTAAAATTTTGCAACACAATAGAAGAGAATGGCCGTTATCTTAATATAAACTGCAGAAATGTAGATCAAAATGGGAATGTGGAAAGGGTGTTGGTGAAGCATGAATAGTAAAAACTCAGAGAGAGATATTGGGGTTCAACCTGAAGGTCAGAAAAGTAAAACAGCCAGCCACTGGTTCTTACCTCTACCTCAGTCGGAAATGGCGATCCTGCCTCGAGGAATCTCAGAATGAGACTGAGTCTGAGAGCTGTTTCCTTCCATTTTACAATCCTCTGTAAGACTGGGATTAAAGGTGTGTGTCACCACTGCCTGGTCTATAAGGCTGATCAATGCAGCTGTTCCACTCTGATCTCCAGGCAAACTTTATTTTTTAAAATACAAATAAAATATCACTACATGTTGGTCTAGAGGAATTAAGCTAAAATATTTTTCTTGTAAATTGACAAGTGATTGTCAACAAAAATCAGTGACCTGGAGATTAAAATGTGAAAAATATGAGTAATTTACAGTGAAAT